TTTTTTTTTTCCAGTACTGGAAATTGAATCCAGGGCTTTCACACTGAGGTATATCTTCAGGCCTTTTTTTATTTTTCATTTTTGCCCAGGCAGAGCTCAAACTCACATTCTCATGCCTCAGCCTTCCAGAGTGCTAGGATTACAGGCATGAGCGATTATACCTGGCTATTCTTACTTTTAAAACTTGAATGCACCTGGGATTTATTTTTGTATGTTGATAGAGTTAGAAATTTAATTGGTTTTTAAAGGTGGCCACTTGGCCCAACACTTTACCAATACAGTAATTGGTTCATACCCTTTTATCTTTTATGATATGCAAAATCCCCATATATAAAGGCTTGCATCTGGATACCTTTCTTTTTTCATTGACCTTTTTCTCTATGTCTATACTACCACCATTCTGACTTAATTGCTACTTTTTAAACTATTTTCATATATATGATAGAAGAATTCTAATTTTTTCATTTGGATATTTTTCTATATCTTCTTTTACAGATGAATTTTAGAATAGCTTGTAAATTACTTGAAAAATTGTGTGGGGATTTTGACTGAGGATTGTTGGCTACATTTTTTTTTTTTTTTTTTTGAGACAGGGTCTCTCTATGCAGTTCAGGCTGGCCTTGAACTCACTGTGTAGCCCAGGCTGGTCTTGAATGCAAGGCTATCCTCCTGCCTCAGCCTCCCACGTGGTGGGATGACAGCATGGACCACCATGCGCAACCTTGTTGGCCACATTTTAAATATTATGAAACTGAAGCTCAGGGAAGCCAAGGAACTTAGTCGTGTGGTTATTAAGTGACAAAGTTAAGATTTGAGCCTAGGCCTAACTAATTTCAAAGATCACATGAACATTTTTCTCTGCTGCAGAGTACCTCTAAAAGTAGGAATTATCGTGTAAATCAATGATATAAACTGTGGATAAGTTCATCCAAGCCACAGTGCTCTTAATTCAGCTAATGATTTTTAACATTTTTCATTTGCCTAGCCCTTGGATCTATGCTGTTTTACTGAATTCCAACATCAGTTCTGTAAAATTTATTCTACCTGTTCTATTTCTGATATTTCAGATGAAGAAACTGAACCACGGAGAAGTAAATAATTTTCCAAAGGTCATATAGTTAGTAAAAGACTTAGAGTTTGAACCTAGTTATTCAGATTCCAGAGTTCATTCTCATCATCCCATTAGAGTTTTTCATCAGTTCCTCTTCTGTCTGCTTATTCTTCCATCTCACCTCACTTCCCCAATGAGATCTCCACTAAATATCAATTTCAAAGCCTTCATCTTTGCCCCTACTTCCACTACCAAGACACAGAAGCCAAAAAAACAAAGGTGTTGGAACTGAGAATATTTATAATTTCACTGATCAACAAAAGGACGAGGAGGGCCGGGAATTTAGCTTAGTGGCACCTCGCCTGGCTTGCAAGCACAAAGTCCTGAGTTAGATCCCCGACACTGGAAAACAAAATAAAACAGGGATGAGGGGCATTGTGGCAGAAGAGGACCTTCCAACTTGAAATTTAAACATTGTCTGATTTTTATTTTAAAGGTGCTGTAAAGAGCCTCAGTTTTTCTCCTCTGGCTGCCATAACAAAATTCCAAAGGAAGAAGGAGTTGGGAGGGGGTGGGTGGAAGGGAATAATTCTGGTCTCTTGTCCTCTTATAAGGGTACCAGTCCTATCAAGATTAGGGTCCCCGTGCCAGGGATTTAGTTCAGTGGTTCCACTGCCTGGCCTGCCTTGTAAGCACAAGGTCCTTGCACTTGCGAGGCAGGCAATGGAACCACTGAGCTAAATTCCTGGCCCCAAAGTATGAATTTTGGTGGCACACAGTTCATAACAAAGTCTATTGGTTCTGTATTCCTATAGCATTTATTTATAATAAAGATGCATTTTAA